GAGAAAAGAGAGAGACCGAGAGAAGAAAAGCGAGAGAGAAAAGAGAGAGACCGAGAGAAGAAGTCTGAACTAAGTTTAGATTTAGATTTAGACCTAATTTACTAAGCAGCCCAAAAAACTAAGGCCCATGGAATAAAAAAAAATCCCAAATTTTAACCCTTGTAAAAATCGGAATATCGGACCGATTTTTCACTAAAATATCGCTCAAAATATCGCCAAATATCGCCAAATATCGCCGATAATATCGTTGGCGATATTTTGGCCGATTTTTCATGACCAATTTTTTTTTTCGAGCGATATCTGATATATCGGCGATATATCGCGATTTTGACAGCACAGTCTTGAATGCCTCACAATCTCATCCAAAATCACGACAAAAAGAGGGATGAGCTTGGTGCCGATCTTATTGCAAATGGAGAAAAATACTCCGTCTCACCTACGGTCCTGTCACAAGTCATCGTCCTAACTCATAACCTAAATTGCCCCAACATACATCCACAGAACCCCTCTAACCTCCAAGCTCCTTTAAATCCTACAACGTGGAACAAAAAACTGCATTTTAGCACTACCTGGCTCAACCCAACCTACTAACATGCCAAATATGAGATAATGTATTTTTGTTCTGTCTTGTTCTCTCCAAACGCACCCAAACAAGCACATCTTTTCTTGATTTGTAGATGAGCCGTCTATAATTGCAAATAAGAATAGATAACACTACTACCCTCAGTCCACACTTGGCTTTTGAGTGTCAGGTGACTACTTTTATCTTCAAAATCCATCAGAATTATTTATTTGACACAAAATATATTTATAATTGTACTTGAAAAAGTAAATGATACAAGGAGAAATACCTCCCAAGGATAAAAAAGCACAATACATAAAGTGATCATCAAACTTTGATGGTTTATTCACTTGTATATAAAAAATTACTAGGCACATACCTAAAGTCTCACAGACATGTCCCAGCTAATGTGAGATCTAAAAAATCTAAGCATTCGATAGTTAATGTTTTGGTTAGACATGTGATGGCTTTCAATTTAATGGGTAATTCACTTCCTCAATCTTAGCTTTAAGTTAATTCGGATGAGAATTGGATGGAAAAGAAATGATGTATTTGATAGTCACTTTATCTACTATATAGAAGAGTTACCCACAACTAGGCTTCATATTCTTTGATTGAAGATATTGGAGAAAGAAAATAAATCTATGAGAGAGAAAGAGTGAGGATCAATTATTGTTAAGAATACGAAAGGGTTTGATAAGTTGGGGGTTCTTCACGGAAACAACCTCTACCCCAATAGGTAGAAGTATAGTTTGCAGACGTCATCCCTCCTGGACCCTACCTCGAGGTGGGATATACCGATTACGTTTGGTTAGAACAAGAAGAGCAGGGTTGCTCTGAGATTTTTCAGTGCTACGATAGATGTTAAGTTGCCCCAACGTTATCCGACTTTGTGTATACATGCATGAATCAGGAGAGTAAATTGAACTTCAATTATTGGAACACAAAAAAAATAGAACTCCTAGCTCAAAAAATTGATATTATTGTTATATGCTTGAATATTTTTTTCATAACATAAAAATAAGATCATTTTTGTTTCTTATCATCACATCTTCAAGTATTTTTTTGGCCCTCCAATTTTAGAATAGATCGCATCATGCTCCTCATTTGAGGAGGAAAGCCTGCTTGCTTCAACACAAATACGTTTCAGCTCTTCGTTTTTGCCTTTTAGTTGCATGAGCTCATCATACCCAAGGCTGCGCACATATTCCTTATGTGTTTTCCCTCCATACGGCCTTTTTAGAATTTCATCAAGCATTTGTCCTTCCTTCTTCACATCCGCCAAGCGCTCAATCACTTTATTAAGTTCGTTGTTGAGCTCCGGATTTGTAGACTCACGATAAAAATTGATAGACCTTGTATCGGTATCATCTTGTTGTTGGTCAACTTGATCCGAGTTAAGAAACCGGTTTACAACGGATTGAATGTTGGGGCTGCCAAAAGAGATAGGCTTTCCAGTGATGGAGAACAGAAGGATTGCAATCTTCACACCACATAGCGTGGCTAGCTCATTCGCTTTCTTGAATAAGTCGTTGCGGCGCTTGGACAAGCTTACCGCTCTTTCCCTTTCATTTTCAATTAGTTTCAACTCCGTGTTCCTATTAACCTCTCTTGGTAATCTTGACATTCCTTTAAATCTAGAAACTATGAAAAATATGAGAATGGTTGTGAAGAGTTCAATACATGTATGGTTTTTATAGAATACCGCTTCAAGACTCCAGAGTCGATTCTCATATGGTGGTTGACCTTTGTCTAACATATTTAGATATTCTATACCTGTATTAATGGATTAATATTTAATAGTTTTGACCAATATTACTTTGTAGACATTCACAATTAATAAATATTCGTACATTAATTTTTATACCATCTATATAAGCACTCATTCATAGTTTTCATATTACATTTATTAATCACACATAATTTTCATTTATATGTATGTATATTTATCATTTTATACATATATAGTATTTTTCTAGTATATAAATGTATTTATAATATATAGTATCTTTTATAATATTAATTTATTTATATATTATTGATATAACATATATAGTATATCAATAATATACTTGTAATATATAATATCTTTTATAATAAATGTATATATATATATATATATATATATATCATATTTATATTTATATATGGAATATTTTGCCGTATTAGTAGGCTCAATGCTTATCTTATATTTGAACATACATTATTTTTATTTTTATGGTTTATGTATAAGCATTCATTCATTTTCTTTTCCATACTATAATTATATATTATACATAATTTTCTTATTATTTTTAAACGTTTATATATAGGGGTTGGTTCAAATAAGAAGGTTAAATATCGTGAGAAAGTAAGAACAAAAATTGTAAGAAGGGAAGGTTCGGGGAAGGTTCATACGCGAATCACTGAAAAAATCTGGAAAAACTCTATTTGAGGATGCATTTGTGAATTGATGTTACATAATATATTTATATGGGTTCACATATGCATCTTCATATGGAGGTTTTCCCGATTTTTTCAGTGTTACACATAGAGATGGCCAAATCGGCCCGGCCCGGCTCGAGACCGCCGGAGGACCGGGACCGGGACCGGGACCGACAAAGGACCGGCCCGGGACCGGGACCGGTAAGGACCGGTTATGGGACCGAAAACCGGGACCGGTTGAGGTTTTTGGTAGTTTCGTGGGACCGGGACCGGTTATGGGACCAACTATAAACCGGCCTGGCTGGCCCGAAAATTCAAATAATTTTATAAATAAATGTATTTTTAAATAATTTTATAATGTATTTTTATAAGAAAACGTAATATTAATTATATTAAAACGCATTTTTAAAGTGTATTTGAGTGACCCAATTGTAAATTTTATAATGTATTAAAAATATATATCATTAAAAAAATATAAAAAAATCTTATTTTTTTAATGCAAGGACCGGTTGGGACCGGTACCGGGACCGGTGGCCCATAACCGGTTATAAAGTACCTATATCGGTCCTATCATTTTCGACCGGGATCGGGATCGGGACCGAGACCGGGACTGGTTTTTGGCCATCTCTAATGTGGACCGATTGGGTCCGGTTACAAGTTTTTTTATAACAAGGTTTTATCTGGTCCACACTCCACAATAAAGATGGCGAAAAATGGGTTCCGGATCGGATCCAAATCGATTTCAGTCCCAAACACTATTTTCATAATTAGCCCCGGCATAACCGGTCCTGGTTCCGACCAAAAAAAGGCCCGATTAAGATACTTTGTAACCGGTGGATCCAAATCGGTCCAATTTTTTTAAAGAAAAAATCGATTTTTACATATAATTTTGCTTGGTTCAATAAAATACAAATTTAAAAGTACGTTTTGTTATAATCTGTTAAAACATAAATCGAATATGAGTCGTCGTGAGAATTGTGGACGTTTTTTTATAATTGTGAGTTGTTATCTTCTCTCATGTACCATATGAATTATATATTGTATATAGAGGGTCAATGGAACAAAAAAAGTTCAAAAACTGAAAACAAAAACAGTCATATGACCGTTCCAACGGTTATAAGAAAGTAACATTTTTTGAGAAAATCGGGACCGGGCCTGATCCGTTGGATGGAAAGTATAACCAGTCCTTAATCGGCGGTCCCAAATCAGTCCAGGTCCTTTGTCGAGCCGGGCCTCTTTGGCCATCTCTAGTCCACACAGACAGGACCGTCCCATTAACTCTTTTGATTATTCCCTTCGCATGAATTCTCTTTTTATATTAGAATATATAGTAGTTGTTATTAACTAAGGAAAATCATACCTCTTGAAAAAAAAAAAAAAACTCAATTGTATGAGATGATTAGAATTATATCTATATTAGAAATTCAAAATTACCCTTGTTTTTTCATACATTATTGATTATTTTCCTGATATGTCGCACATAAATTTTAAGTACTCTCATATTTCTAAAAATAAAAATAAGATCTCAAGTTATAATCAAAATGGACTTTTGATTTTAAGATTAGTGGTTCTATAAAGTTTGTTTTAACCAAAAGTTTATAATTTTGATGTCTGTTATTCAATTATTGTTGGGTAAGTGAATGGTTTGGAATTTGACTTCAACCATCAACCACTTGTTTATGGTACAAGTATTTTAGCTTATACAACATTTTTGCACAATTTTTAGTAATTAAAACCTACTATATATATATATATATATAATAAAATTATTAAAAAGAAATTCAAATATAACTTGTTACTTTCCAATTTTTTATATTAATTTTAATTTAAACTTATCTATACTATATTATAAAGTATTTGACAAAAACTCTTAAAAAACTATATTTTATGCATAAAGTACTGTTTATTAATGCATATTACTTAAAACTCAAGATTGCTAGTAGATTGTGCATAAGTACAACTTATTAAAGCTCCATATCTGAATTTGTGTAACTAACTGCAGATAAACATAATCAAATACAAGATAAACATCTCATTTTAAATATAAAAAATCTAAAATATAACTAGAATAATCATTGGGTTCTAACAAAATACTTAACTATTATCTTTATACCAAAAATAAATTATTTCGTTATTAAACTTAAATTAAATTATAATAAAGAAAATAAATTAAAGAAATTACATAAAAAATAAGAACTTTTAAATAATTGATTTGATATTAACATTGATATATATTTTTTCAAAATTGTATGATATCTTAAATAGAAGGGCCGATGGTTTGCAACTTTTAATAATTTTGGTTTGTCTAACTGGTTCATCAACTAGGGTAATTTTATCTTTTTGTCATTTTTCTTTGTTTCAACATTCTTTTAAATTATTTGCCTTACTTTTTTTTGAATGTTCATCTTCTCAAACCCAACAATCAAGAATATTTAATATGCAAATTCAAACAATAACAAATTTAAAATAAAAAATTCACCATAGATTAAAAACATATGAACATAAACCATAACGTGGTTATTGGCCAAGCCCATAAAATCCTAAGGCCCAATTCCAAATATTAAAGGGGTCACGTGGAAACCACGTGGACTATGCATCTCCCAAAACGCCAAAAATTCCGCCATTTCATCCTCGCCATTTTTTCCGTCACAACGTCAGTTATTGGCCACGTCGAACATTCGCCGTTCAACGAATTTGCAGGAATAGATTCGCTAATCAATCAAATTGGAAACACCTATGACTCGATTTTTCAATACTACTGTTGTAAGCTTCTAGGGTTCTTGTTTAATTTATTGATTTTTACTTCGAGTAATTGAAACTTTGTTTTTTTGTTTAATCCCCAAAAAAGAAAAAGGTCGGAGGTTTCAGAGGTTATGCTGTTAGTACGGAGATTGGGAGTGGATCTAATGCTCAAACCCTAAAAATTCAAGGGGTTAAAGATATTATAGCTGTTGCATCTGGCAAAGGTGGTGTGGGCAAGTCGACTACTGCGGGTAATTTTTCAAATTATGCCAAATTTGTTTTTTAATTTTGGTAGATAATTGATTTGGGTTTTTGATGTGTAGGTTATATGAACATTATAATCAATTGATTTGTTCATTTGCTTTCCAGATAAATATATAATTTCATGGTCAAATCTTGTGTTTTTTCAAACTGAAAAATTGATATTTAAAACTACATTTTGTCATGAATTTTGATGGGGTTGCCATATTTTAACAATATATATACCTCTTCTTTTTGGAACCTGGGAAGTGTGTTCTGCGGCCAAATCCTATATTGGGTGCTGCTATTTTATAATTGATACTACTACATCTTGAATATGAACTTGAAATTTAACTTTATTTACAACTTAGCTTATAATTACATCAAAGTTCAAACACTAGCAGAAACATAAGTCAATAGCTTATAAATTTATAATACAACAAAATTTGCTATTGATTAGAACAATACTACTTCATGCAACTCCTCTTTACTCCTTCTCTGAGATACATAAGCTAAAAGCTTAGTGAGTAGTTATGGTTTCATGAATAAGCACTTTTCATGATACTTGTAAACTCTTTTTATCATGCATAAATATTCTTTTTTGAGATCTCACTTGCAACATGTAAGTATGCCATACTTGCCTTGAGGTTTGCTAACTGGGGGTCCATAAAGGCTGCCACATAAGGTCCGTTTGCAAGACGTCTCTTCTTGTATTATCTCGTACACCGGATATTATATGGTCATACATAACATGCAAAAACTTTCATGCCTTACGTGTAAAACACATACTTATATCATAACATTCCATCATGCATATCTTGAATATATAAATGTATCATCATTTCATGTAAAGCAAACATGCCAAAACATCTTATCAAGTCTTTTCATAATGCATAAAATACTCTTATATAGCATGTATGTATCTCATAAATCTCATAACATACTCACCTTTATTACGCCTAGCTTTTTCTTTGATTTCTTATTCAAAGCTTGATTATGTATCTGAGAGTGATTTCTTAGGGGTTGTTTGGAATTGCTTATTTAAAACAACTTATGTTTTTTTTTGGTAAAAGTGCTTATCAACTTATGTGGTGTCAAACTGGAGTTCTATAAAAGTGTTTGGATTAGCTTTTGACGGTACAAAAACGTAATAAGCTGATAAGTATTTCTTTTCTTTTTTCCATTCAAACACTGATACCACATCGGAATAAGTTAATAAGTTAGAAGGGAGTAACTTATCAAAAACTTCTTATTACCGCTACCAAACCGGTATAAGGAATTTTTTATTCCATCCAAACACTAAAAACTTCTTATTAATGGTACCACACTGAAATAAGTTAATAAGCACTTTAAAAAGGAATCCCAAACACCCCCTTATTTTGGAATGGAACTAATGGTAACATTTCAACCCACTATTTATTGGTGAATACATTGCATTAACTACTTGTTCTTCTTGCTCTCAAAATTGTACTCTTATGAGAGTTTACCACCTCATGGTTAAGATAAAAGAATCTTGACACATCATGCTTCTAGCTTTTGTTTGTGATGCTTCTAGCTCTTGCTTGTCATCATGAATTTTGCCAACACATGCTTCTAGCCTTAACAACTCATAAGTAGTTTGCTTTGTCATGCTTACTAGATTTGCTTTGTTATCCATAATTTTGCCAACACATGCTTCTAGCCTTGACAACTCATAAGTAGCTTGCTTTGTCATCAATAATTTTGCCAACACATGCTTCTAGCCTTGATAACTCATAAGTAGCTTGCTTTGTCATGCTTAGCCTTGTAAGCTACTTGTCATTGAAAATATGATGATTTTAAAGATGCTACAACTGCTGGAACCTTTTTAGTGCACTTAATTTGATCATAATACTTATATTTAAGACTTGAAACATTGAAATATAACAAATATAGAAACTAGGCCGTTACATACATCCATGTGTTTTAAGGGGGTATTTGTTCTTTTCCAAATGATTATTGCGATAGTTTGGTAATTTTATGTTTACCTTTGAAAATGAGATTTTCTTGGGGTAACTTCATACATGGTTCGCCGATTTGGATTATTTTGACCCTAAAAAATCATAATGAGAATCAGTTTCGCCAAATACATGTTATTGTGGCTTCAAATCTCCAAGATCAATTTCATAACACATCCAAACAATCCCTTGTTCTTATCTATAAATTTAACTGAAATCTAAAAAATGGGGTGGCCTATGATTTGGATAATCTCTCATCATCTAAAAGCCAAACGAAACCAAACGGATGCGGTAATTGACTCATAGAGGTAGGGTCCCCGGGTAGAATGTATGCAGACCTTGCCTCTATCCCCTAGGGGTAGAGCTCTATTTCTAATTTCTCATTGTCTATATTATTATCTTATAAACTATTTAGGTAAAACTCTTAAATTTGAAGTGTATAACGTCTATAAAGCATTAACTACAAATATCAACGCATTCAGAGTTATGGTTTGCTGTGAATTTTTGGCTAAAATCATCTCCTACATAGTAGAGCAACAAAAGATTGGATGGCTCTATGCCTAGAAAAGGAGTCACACGCAAAGCATCACAATGAAATGCACTTTAAGTATTTGATTTTGTTTATTTCTTGATCTCTTGTTATAGAGTTTACGAGTCAAATCTTTGGAAGTGTGGGTTTAATTGGGGGGTGGCCCGTGTTTCCAAAAAAATCATAACAATTTACAATATTTAGTTGTTTATGTTCAAACAGGAACTTCGAGGAGTTGCATTAATTTTCAATTTCTATTTTATAGTAAAATTTTATATCCCACTGCATCGCACGAGTACATTACTAGTGTAGTTATTAAGAGAATCATTTGTTGGATATGAAGTCTGATTGTTCACTTTCGTATTTGCAGTTAACTTGGCTGTTTCACTAGCCAATAAGTGTCAACTTAATGTCGGATTGCTAGATGCGGATGTATATGGACCATCAATCCCTATGATGATGAAGCTACATGGGAAGCCTGAAGTAAGTAAAGGTGATATTTAATGTTCTTAAAGTGTATGTTATGTTGTTCAATGCCATTATCTAGAGGAACACATATATGTTTTAAGGGCTACGATTGATTTTCTTCATCAAATTTCATTTTTCATTATTGCTAGCTAAGCTCTTACTCTGTCCGTAATATGACAATTGCAACGTTTAACCTCATGCTTAGGGGCCGTTTACCAAATACTTACCGGGTAAGCGCTTATCGGCAAGAATCACCATCCTTGCTTACCTTGTCGGGTAACATTCTCAGTCATCAAAATTGATTGTTTGTAAGCGTCTCGTATCCGGTAGGCGCTAATCCGGTAAGAGTCTTCTCCCTCACTTACCGGGTAAGAACCTTGGATCTTGTCATGCCTCTTACCGGGTAAGATTCTCGGTCCTTACCATGCTTACGCGGTAGCAAGGTAAGTGACCCTGTAAGCGCTTGTTAACGACCTTGTAGTTTTGCAACCGCTGGTCAAAGGATATTTATGATGTAAATATCTTTCGATAATGAAAGATAAAAGATCTTGTAGACCATGAAAATGGTTCAAATTAGGATTGAGAACGCGAAAAGAGGTAATTCTATCTTGGAAACTTGACAAAAAAATGAAAATCTTTTGGTTTTCATGTCACTTTTTTTTTGGGGGGGGGAGGAATTGGATGAAGTAGATTGACTGTAACCAATTACGTTCCTTAAATCTTTGCGAGCCAGGGGTCTTCACGGAAACAACATGCGTACCCTTTATGTAGAGGAAATGTCTGCTTACATCCTACCCCGATGCGGTACCTCTGTGTGTGATATATTGGGTTCGTTTGGTTTGTTTTTTATTCTATAATAAACCAAACCAAATGATCCCAGTATATCCCACCTAAGCACAGGGTTTGGGGAAGGTGAGTTGTATGCTGATCTATCCTCTACCCATAGGATAGAAGGGTTGTTGTTTTCCTTAAGAACCTCGACCTGTGCAAATGTGTGAGCAAACTTTGTGCCAAAAATCTTTGAAGGACCAAGATTTTTGAAACGGGGGTTGGGGGATATGGAACTGCATATATTTAGTGTATGTTAGCACAATCCCTTTATAGGTTATACTTTTCTGATGCCAACTGCACTTGACTAATGTGTTTGGATTTTTTTAATCACTTTCAGGCAATAAAATGATTCCAATTGAAAACCATGGAGTCAAGTGCATATCAATGGGATCTCTTGTTGAGAAAGATGCTCCAATCGTATGGAGGGGTCCTATGGTACATGAATACTTTCCAATTCTATCCTTAATTTGAAATGGAGAAATTTATGATTACCTCTATTATTAAGGTTACAATTGTCGTTCAGTTAACTAAAAGTGTATTAGGCATTTCTAAGTCTTTGTGCCTTTTCATTGTAGACATTTATTTTAGGACGGAGGGAATATATCTTTAAAGATTTTTATATAAGTACCGTTTATAGGTAATGAAAGCTCTTGAACAAATGACAAGAGGAGTTGAGTGGGGCCAGCTAGATATTCTTGTCGTTGATATGCCACCTGGCACTGGAGATGCTCAAATCTCTATGTCACAGAGGCTGCAATTATCAGGTATATGAAGTAGAGGTTCAATTGTAACCTTTATATATGTTTGCTTTAGAGACGTGTGAAATTCGATGTTCTTAACTTCTTATATACAAAATATGCTTCCATTGTGTGTGTATATATATATATATATATATATATGTATTTGGAAGTTTAAACTGTTATTTTCTCCGTCCCAAAGTAAATGTCCACATGAAAAAGGCGCACAGTTTTTTAGAAATGTGAAATCATTATACTTTTTACTTAATTAGATGACAAATTTACCCTTAATAATGAAGGGAGTAATGAATTTCTTCATCTCATAACTAAGGGTAGAATTGGAAAGTATGCACTTTTGAAAGTAGATGCTTATTTTGGGATGCATGGAGTATATTTTTAACACGATACCCATTCGTTTTTGGGTGGCAGGAGCATTGATTGTATCAACTCCTCAAGATGTTGCATTAATGGATGCTCGAAGAGGAGTCAAAATGTTCTCCAAAGTCTCGGTTCCTGTATGATAATTTCCTAACTTTTTTATGTATTATAATATTTATATACAACAAATACTCACGCACCATCCTCGCCTTTGGTGAGGTTTGAACCCTTCACCTCTTGAGAGGCTGGGCTCTACCGGTAACCCGGGTACCACCGGACCAATGACCATTTGGTCAGTTTCTAGTTTTATGCGCTTTGAGATGCATTGGCACATACGTGACCTCTACCTCAGAGTAGAGAGAATGTTTCCGTGAAGAGTCCCGGGTTGTGCAAAGTGTGCATAAAAATGATAAAGCAATTGAGGGTCTTCACGGAAACAATTGCTCTACTTCTTAGAACAACAAAGGTCAGATTTGTATACATCTCGCCACCCTCAGACCCCATCCCTGGGTGGGATATATACCGGGGGTTTTTTGGTGTGGTTTATTTTACCATATTTCCAAACATAAAACTTTATGTTTTAGTATCCATTAACATTTGTGATTAATATGTAGATATTGGGGATCATAGAGAACATGAGCTACTTCAAATGTCCACACTGTAGCAAACCTTCTTACATTTTTGGGAAAGGCGGAGCACGCAAAACGGCCGAAGAGATGGGACTGGGATTTGTTGGTGAAGTACGTTTATACCCTTTGACCTCCATTGACTCACCGAGTTTTTTCTGGCAAATTTTCACTAATTCTGTCATGATGCATTACGGTTTTAGATACCATTGGAAGAGGAGATCAGAATTGGCTCCGACGAAGGTATCCCGGTCGTTATATCTCATCCGAATTCGGCTGTTTCAGAAGCATTTGGTGATGTAGCTCACAAGATTATCAGTAGACTCCATGAATTAGCCGGTGATCAACATTTTAGACCAGAAATAACCCTATAAAATCACCATTATAGTGACGATCAAAATCTCTGTGGAGTTCCTTTATTTGTTACATGATTTTGGTTTTGTTCAGTGAGAATGTAAACAATTAGTGTTATAGCTGTAGGGTTGGGGTGGGAAAAAGAGTTAAGCTAAGAAGCGTAAACAGGGATCTTCACTCTTGGATGCACATTAGGATGAGATGCACCGGATCAATCCCTATATCAAGCGCGATTCGTGTGTGGGCTTGAGATTAAAGGTGATCAAAGGTCTAGATCTCTTCTTATGCTTCTCACATTAACTCTGTTTCTCACACGATCCTTTCATAGTTGTAATAAAATATCTAAAAACAATTAGTGTTATAGCAGTAGGGTTGGGGTGAGAAGGAGAGTTTAAGGTGAGAAGCATAAAAAGGGATTTCCACCCTTGGATGCATATTAGGACGAGATGCATCAGATCAATCCTCATATCAAGCGCGATATGGGTGGGTTTGAGATTAAAGATGATCAAGGGTCCAAATCTCTTCTTATGTTTCTTACCTTAACTCTGCTTCTCACACGATCTTTCACCGTAGTTGTAATAAAATATCTAAAATCAAATTAGTGTTGTTTGGATGATGATGGTTTAGAAGATGAGGAATGATGTATGATGGAAAGATGAACATATGAAAATTTGGTTTAAATCTTGTATAAATAAATTATTATGATAATGTATTTATCATAGCAGTTTCAAAGTCGAGAGTAGTCAAAGACGTTTTTACCCTCCATCTAGTATAAATAGAGACCAATTGGTTGGTAATGTGTGTTGAACGGTTTCTTTTGGTGCTTAAAGAAAATCGTATGGGTTGTTTTATCCTTGGGACGACTTGGTTGATAGTCTGGCTAACACTCTCAGGGCAGAGCCGTGATACATCTTAAAGAAAGCAACTCAGTCCGTGACTCATCGTGAAAATATCTTTGTTAAACTTGTCTTGTTTTTACTTACTGTTCTAACAATTTTAGGACTTATTATAGCCTAAGACAATATATATACTATATTATAAAGCATTTGACAAAAACTCTTAAAAATGATTTTTTTCATACACGAACTATTGTTTATTGATGCATATTACTTAAAATTTAAGATTACAAGTAAATTGTGCATAAGTACAAATTATTAAAGCTCCATACTTGAATTCATCTAACTAACTGCAGATAAACATAATCAAATATTGGATAAACATCTTATTTTAAATATAAAAAATCTAAGATATAATTAGGATAATCATTGATAACTAACATAATACTTAGTTATTATATTTATAAAAAATTATATTATTAAACCTAAATTAAATTTCTTTGTTCTTAAACCTTAATTATCTATATCTATAATATATTACTAGAAGCGTACTCGCGCAATGCAGCGAGATATATCGTGTTTTTAATATTTCATTTTATTATTTATCTCAGTCGATGTTATAATATGGCTTTATGTGATTTTGAGAAAGCGGTGATGTTTTTATTTTTGAATAA